TGGTACTCAACATTATATATGTCAAGTTAATAAATAAACATGACGGATATCTATAATTATCAGAAGTGACTTCATTTCAATGGGAAATTTTTTTTCCTGCTTTTATTAGTCGCTTTTTTTTTCTTGACCAGTTGGAGCTCCGTGCAAATGACTGTTTAGATATAGACTTTATTTAAAAATTCCTATTTGTTTTCTTTGCATTCAGTGATGGCGAAAAATCAACATAATTTTATTCAGTTGGGACTGTGTAAGCAATAAAATGCTACTTATCGTAATTAGTAACTTGTTTTAAGTCTAAATTAATGGTATAGTAACTTTGGCGTCTCTAACTCATCTCGAATGAATTTTGTAACACTTGTTGACTTTAATTAACAATCGATTACATTCAAAATAGCATCCAAAAAATTTTAAAGAATTTTCTGTTTGAAATAAATATTTGGTATATTTTTGCCCAATAATTTTCTCGTTTTAAGGCTCGAAGTTGATGGTATCCCTTCTATTCAGCACGTCGGCGTTTTTAGCTCATCTTAAATGGATTATGAATTTTATAACGTTTAATTAACAAACATTCTGAAGATATGTACTTGTTGACGCGTTCATGCAATGAAGTTATCATCCTTTTGCCATAGTTTCCGGTTGCTTTAACGGCCTGAAAGTAGAGTTGAATGACATTCTTTACCTTGGAAGTCGAATCTCGCTTTAGGCCACTCTTCATAATAAGCGAAGCGTAGAATCTATGACCTATGAACCCCCTAGAAAAAAGGAATCTTTTGTGGAAAAAAAAAGCAGCGGCTTTGTTTAAGAACAAGAGTTATTCAAGAGAATGGGCTTATTCTTGATCATTTTAGCCACTATTGGAATACCTTCTTACCTGTAGATAGCAAGAATTGTCTATCTAGGTTATATGTCTGTTGAGGTGTGCGTGATCTGCCGTTCATTCAATTTACTATCTAATTTACATATGAGTGGTGGTAATTGAATATTGAACTTGCTATATTTGTTTTGACAATAGCGTGATTTGTCAAACTAATGACATCTAAAAACTTTGTGTGCGGCATTGTACTTTGTTTTTAAGAAATCTAAGTAAAAAGGACACTATACGACACTATGCAAAAAAGAAAAATTTACAGTGCTTTGATTCTTTAACTATGATCAATATTATGCTTTCTCTTAAAATTAAATCATTTAATCGAAAATATATTTTACTATGCGTTCTAATACATTTTATCTCAAAACAATAGTATGATAGAATGAATATTTATCTATCTCATACACTGATGAATTTTCGAACTTTTTTAAACACATAATTTCTTACAAACACACTGTTTATATTGTATATATGTGCGTGTATCTCAAGTTTTTATTTTTATTGCGAAATTTCAATTTCGTATGTCACAATTTGTCATTAAACGAAAGCGTAATTTTAATTTATGAATAAGCTGTCTATTCGCGAGTTGAGCAGTTAGAAAAATTAAGTTTGTAATTGGAAATTATAAGTACTTATATTCCAATTCTATGATTTTATCTATTTCTATTGATTTCTGTTACCTGGTTTATTGCCATGAACTATATAAATTTCCAGTTCTCATACTAAAAATACATTTTTTTTTTAAAAATAATTTATTAAAGTTATTTTAAGTTAATATTTGAAGATCTTCGTGGAAGAACCGGCAAACTGACATTCCAGTGTATTTGAGTAAATAAGCGACAAAGTTCATACGTTTCTCCTTTTTGTTTTTACGTTCAATCTGTTTTTAGTATGTTTGTGAAGACATAACTCACAAAATTTTCAAAGCTTTTTTTTTTTTATTAAAACTTTTTTTATAAAGGAAGATTTTAATGATTTTTGTGCGTAGCCTTGGGTTGTTTTCACGGACGATTTTTAATGTTTTTCATCGAATATAATTTTGAATAGACAAAATAAATATACATATATTAAGGCTTATATTCATAAAATAAAATTTCAGCAACCTTAATTTGGAATAAACTGGTATCAAATTTTTTCTAGCCTTGTTAGTCCGAAAACTGATCAAAAACGAATCAGAGGCAGCGTGAGTTCAACTATCACGGAGTCGATGTTTTACCGGTATGTGTCGCTTTAATTGGCGAGAATTCGGTAATTTTTAATTTAAAAAAAAATATATAAATAGCTCTGATTGTGGTCGAAATATTATGCTATTTCGTTACATCTAAAGGTATTTTTGAAATTACGTAAAAGTATTTTTATAGTTTGAATACATAAAATATCTAGGTCTAGTTGTTAAAATACAAATTATTTTCAATTTTTCATTAAAAATTTTCAGTTTCAAGCAGAAATGACACCTTTTGATTTATAAAAATATGAATAAAGCAGTTTTAGGTTGTTTTTTTTTATCGTAGGAAACTACGCGTTCCTGATTAGTTACGCGATTCTCTCTTTTTTTTTTCATAATGTAGGTTACCATTTCACAATATACCGCCGTGGAACATCAGTCCATTCAGTGAATAAGCAGCTTTTTTTTTTTAAATTTCCAACTTCTTAGCCTTGAATTTAAAGGACAAGAGAACACCTGTTTAAAGAACAAGGTCACAATCAACTTCAATAAGAATTCTTTTAAGCGAAACTAATCAGCATTTTCGCTATATGGAGGTAAAAACCACGAAAACCTCTCTTGCTTAGCCCGATGCCAATGGAGCTCTGATATGTTTTTACCGAAGTATAATTTGCATCATCACTGCAATCTCTGCTGGCAGGAAACAAAATAAAGTTTAACTATCTCTGTGATCGCTCATATCTAGACTTAATTTGTCTTCGCTGAGTCTTGCCATTTTAAATGAAAAAATTGCCGTTAGTTTTGTCAAACATATAAGTACGCTTATCATTTCGGATTTAACACTTAATATTTTAAGCGTGCGCACACATCTTAATGATTGTTGTTGAACCCTTTTATATTTACAATTTAAAAATAGTAATCCAAAAAATAGAAAGATGTTTGGTGATAGGTATCACTGATAATATGTCATTTGGTTCTGTTTAAATATGTACTATACATACTATTATTACGTATCACGATGCCTCTTTGAGTACTAGATAAATAGCTTTTGTAAAGCTTACCGAATGGGATAAGTATAGGAGAAAATTTTGATTACGTTAATTTTTTAACTATCAGAAGTTTGTCTCGAGCAATAGAATTATGCCGAATGATACTGATTACTGAACATTTTTAATCACAATTTTGAAATGACGAGCTTCTAAAAACATGCTGTGCTTAAGCTAATAACGTAAAGTCATAAAGAAGAGCAACAAATAACAATAAACAAATAAAAAAAATGTATTTTAAGTAATTTAGTCAATTGTCTCCACATAATGTCTTTCAATTCTGTGAATGATTTTGTGATGTTGATCTTAACCGATTTACTGATTTAGTTTTATTTCAAAAGGAGAAACGAGTTTATATGTATATTGTTCCGATAAATTCATATTGACGGCCTTTTCCCATTTGCTGTTATTGATAAAAAAAAATTTCTCACTTTCTCATTCTAAGTGTAACTTAATTACAAAAATCTTACTTTTTTTCCCTATTTTAATCACTTACCGAGATTGTTACGAGTAACCTCAATCTCTTCCTTCTAAAAGAAGCATATCAAAATTATGAACATTTAATGAATTTAATGCAACATTTTAATGAATTTGTGTACTTGGAATGCATGGTAAAGGAGCAAAAATATATAATATAAAACGTTATTTTAAAACAAAATATCGCATGCAAATTTTTAATGCTTTTAATTTTTTTATATTGCTATCGTTACTAAAATGGCTTCAAGAAATTAATACAATATGGAACACACAAAATCATTTTGGCCAGACGAGCAAGCCACGTAAAATAAGCGTGGCATTCAACGTGTTAACTAATTTTTGCATTTACCCTGTGTCAACAACATCGAAATGTTTTTTGTTTTTATAAAGTAGTTCTAGTGAGTTACCCTTAATACTTATTTTATTTAAATCATATAAAAGGTTTCAAAGAATTGTATTCAATTTTTTAATAAATAATAATCTGAAACTGCGATTTTCTAATAACGGCATTTACTTTTTTTTTTTTACTATGCTTTTTTTAATCGTTTTTTAAGTTTTTTTTTTCATGAAATGATGCCCAAAAATGAATTGATTTACCAGATAACATCTTTCTTTATACCTTAGATTTAAATACTTTCTTGAGGTGAGTACTAAATTAAAAATTATTATTTAAATTATTCCATCTAAGATTTTAGAGCACTGCTCGATATAATTCATAATTCCTCGGGAGAGATTTCTTAAGCTTTAAAAAGTTATTTTACACCTCTCTCTTTGGATTTTAAAGGAAAATTTAGAGAGGTTTTTAGTTGTATGTAATAAATTATTGCAAATTAAAACAGCACTGATTAGAGTTTAGTTATTTTTTTAAAATAACGTAAATAATGATCTTCATAGTAGGCAACACTTTTTATTTTAGATGTAATTTGCATAATATCTAGCTTTTTTAATGTCTGATTTCAGATTTCACTAAGAGAAAGTGGAAATTCACTTTCGTTATTTTAATTCTAACAAACATCAGTCATCCCTGAATAGTTGGTAGGGCCCTGGACTTACATTCATGAGAACGGGAACTAAATATTTTTGCGCTAACTCTCTTCTAACTGCTTCAAAATTAACTTTTTTCAACACAGAGATTTAGCACTTTCTCATTTTCTCAACACAATGCAGTTACTACAGAATAATATAGTTTTTTATTTTTTCCAGAGCACAAAAATGCGTACAGGTGCCCTGTAATATCTTGCCTAATTCGAACGAGATTTGTCGAGTCTTTTGTTTTAAAATAGTAGTTTTATTATTGATCTATGCAGTATTAAAAAAAAAACGTAAGATTTTTTATTACAAACCATAGGTTTCCAAAATAAAAATTTGTGAAAAAAAGCATTTCTTTGTAATGTTTGTTTGAATATAATTTTTGTTAATCGATATATTTTCTTTTTTCTTCTAGAATCTCGCTGAAGAAATGCATTTAGATAGCGATGCAGATTGGACCCAGATCTTAGATCATCAGCCTATAGTTTTAAACGATCGAATGATGACAGATGCTGTTCAATCTCCACATATTCAATCCGAGCATAGTTATTCTCTTACACTTAATGATGAACTACCGCAATCCCCCTTTGGGCATAACATTAAACTTGAAGACTACGATAAAGGTAAGACTTTTCATCATATTTTCCATAATATTATACAGCTTAATATTTAACAATAATTACCCTGCAAAGTTCTGCTGAGAATTCAATAGAACGCCGATTAATAGGAGTGCCCAGTTAATAAAGGATCTGGATAATTAAACATACTTAAAAAATAATTATTTTTGGATAACTTCCCTTTACTAGGACTGGCAATTATAAAAGTGGATAGTTTTGCATATTATATATGCCTTGTTTAGACATTTTAATTTTCTATAAAATCGGTTAAGAGCTATACATAGAAGTACACATAAAACTGTCATCCGAACAAACATCAAACACTCAGTGATCGGAAGTAGCACAACACAAGTAGTGAAACTACTTCCAAACACTCAGTGGTCGGAAGTAGCGCACTACAAGTAGTGAAACTACTTCCAAACACTCAGTGGTCGGAAGTAGCTCATTACAAGTCGTGAAACTAGTACTTCCAAACACTCAGTGGTCGGAAGTAGCGCACTACAAGTAGTGAAACTACTTCCAAACACTCAGTGGTCGGATGTAGCGCACAACAAATAGTAAAACTACTGTAGTCGCAACTTTTTTGTAATTTTTAGTGTAGTGAGTAGCGTACAAAAGAAACAGTAGTTTGCAACGATCCATGGTAACTACTTTTAACGTTAGTTTAGAAAAGAAACGATTCTAACGCAACTGATTTTTTTTATGGGTGCAAATCTGTCTATCAATGAATGCAATGAAAATGGCCCTGGGGCTACAGCTGAGCGTTAACAAAAATTGTGTATTTAAAATCACTTATAACTAATATTTAAATTAGCTATTGCGGAAAATAGATAATCACTTTGGTCACACTTTCACTTGCAAATGCACACATTATTTCAAAGGTATTTTCGATGTACTTAATTTCTTGGACGAAATAAAATTGCGTAAAACAATTAAAAAATTGTAAGTGTTTGATAATTTCGCATTTCTTCAATTCAATATTTTCTGTCGGAAAAGACATAAGAAGTTGAAGGTTAAATTAACAAATTTGAAAAAAAGTGTTTTGGAATAACAAACTGATTCACGTGAACATGAATAAATACTTCTCAATTTTGCCCTTATATTTAATGTGAGCCAATATCTTATTCAAAACCATTTTGAACATAGGTGTAAATTAAGTTCTCCAGTTCGTTCGTCTCCTTAAAGTAGTGAAGTAGTTACTACAATTCCGAAGTAATTTGGTAGTCACTACATTTTAAAAAAAGTAGTTGTTAACTGCATTTGTAGCAAAGTAGTTATTGTTGTAGTAAACTACAAAAATGTAATTTTTCCGACAACTGCATGCACTATATAGTAAATGTTTAGAAGAAAAAGTCGTTGTGGTTGGATTTTTTTTTTAAGTCTTCTGCTTATTAGAGGACATTTTATTTTCTGCAGCCATATTGCTCCTAAATCTTTTTAAATGCAAGATTTGACCCCTTTCAGAAAATATAAAAGATAAAGACCAATTTTCGAGTTTTTATTATTATTGTTATTATTAGAAAGACTTGAAAAAACGCATGGTCATTCATCGATTTAGTTAATCGGTGTTCGAATAAACGATGCTCTACTGTAATTACATTTTGAAATATGATAAACTAAAAGCATTTTTTAATGTTAAGGCTATATCGCTCATTTGGTGAAACAATGACGTAACTTGATTTTGCAGTTACGTCATTGTTTCACCAAATGAGCGATGTTATCAATGTATTAAAAAAGCATTTAGAATATTTTTATGCTTCTTACCCCCCCCCCTTTTCCTTCTCATGAAATTATATAAAACTTCCGAAAACTAGTTTCTTTTAGAAAGAAACATTCGAAGCAATTTCACAAATTAGATCATAGTAGCTAGTATTTCCTATAATAAAACATATTTATGCAAATATCATTCAAACGAAAGTCACTCTGTCTACAATTTCAAATTGCCAGTTACTCAATTTATGAGATTTTGTCTGAAAACAAATATCATTCGTACACAATCTACAGTGTCTGATACTATTTTATTTTCAGTTTTTAATACCGATTCAGAAATTTAAATGCTTTTTCAAAATACAATATTTGACATGACTTTTGATTTGACATTTGATATATACATCATTTAAGTACATTGTGAACAATTTTTTTTTCAAATTGAAATCAATTTAAATTATAAGCATTTTTCATTAGTTTCAATATGGCAGAATTATTTTAGTCATTAATATTTAGATTGTGTTTTTATTTTTGGCAATTAGCAAAACACTTTTTTTTCCCCAATGTTTTTTTTTACTATTTATATTCTTATTTCTGTTATATATGAATTACATATCATGTATCATATTAAGTCTTATTTTCAATTAAAGTTGCCTAACTTTTCTTATGAGATAAACGACTTTTTTCCGGATTTCGTTGCAAAAGTTTACAATTTCTTAAACTTCTAAACATGTGCTAAAAACTTTTTGATAATTTTAAATATTAGTAAGAATTTGACAAAAACTTCTACTAACGTAATATATTTGAATGAAAATAAAGACTTTAAATATTAAAAATAGTATTTTTTTGTGTTAACTAACCCCACTTTAACTACGTAATATAGGAAAGACTCTAATTTTGGATATATTTTGTTTAAAGAGTAACTGCATAAAAGTAGTATCGATGTAGAATAAAATTTGTGTCAAATATTTGACCTTTATCGAAAACGAAGACCAAATAATTTTCTATGCATGCACAAAAGTGGATTTCTTTTGAAATATTTTTTTAAAAGTAACCACCAAGCATTTTGTCAAAAAAAATCTACTCCAAAAAAAATTTCATGCACTTTTACTCTATCAATATTTTCAGATAAATATAGTGCTTTGTTTTGTCAAACTTTGAAACAAAATTTTTCTCAACTATACTTGAACGCATTTTTTAAAAAATTTCTTAGCATTTATACGGCTGAAATTTTAACGAAAATATTTTCAAACAATGCATTACGAAATTATTGACCATGATGATTTAAGTACTTCTACACATTATATTAGAAATTGCATTAAATAGGATTCAATATTTTTCAAAAGATACTTGGGGCAATATAATGCTAAGCCACGTTTTCAAATTGTTCAAGAGAGTGGTTTGAATGGGAAAAAAACACGATTTTCATGTAGGTAATAAGATGTTTCTTTGTAGAATTATAGTATTATGTTGAAATTTTGAAAACAATACTGAAAATAAGATTGATGAAAATATGACATCTTTGGTAAAGTCTGCCTTATTATATTAACCCAAGACCTTCATCTATAAATATCCATATTTCATTATTGTAAATACCGGAATATGTCGAAAACTAATTGTTGGAAAATTCTAAAATGGAAAAACTTCTTCAATAATTCAGTTTTGGAAAATAAACTTTAAAAATTTATTAGATTGAGTAGAAATTTTTTTTTCTTTTTGCTTCTTACTATCGATTTAAATGAAAAACTTTTTAAACCAAACAGATCTAAATCTACAGCCTAAATAGAGTAAATGCTTATTTATTTTTAAGAAAAAAAATTTTCGATGAAAATTTTATTTTACAATGCAAATTGAATAATGTTACTTTTTTAATCAATAGCTGCATTATCAAACGTGAATATAAATTTTTCTACAGTGGTTCCTTGGCTCCTTAGCTGTAATAAAGTTTGCATTTATCCATTTAAATCAAATAATTTTACCAGGAAATTTTTAAATAAATATTTTTTCCTCCAATAAAACATTCAGTTTTGTGTTTTGTTGTGACAATAATAGACAAACCTTTTTACTCATCTTTTAAATATCCGCATTGATACTTCTTAGAGACAAAAAAATAGATACGATTTTATTACATGGAAAAATACGTCAAGGATCAAGGTTGGCATGATTTAAATCACTTGATTTATGTAATGATTAAAATCACGATTTAAAATAATTGATTTTTTTTTAAAAAAATCATTGATTTAAACCAACTGATTTTTTTTAAAAAATAATTAAGCCGAAAATATTTTCATAAATATATTCAGATAAATGATCAAAATCTTAAACCAATCTAAGTCGAAAGCAAAGTGCATTAAACTGATATTATACATATTATTTTATAACCGTCATTGAACAGCTGACCCAATGCTGAGTTCAATACCACTACAGCGTTTAGTTCCGTAGCCTTGTAATTTTAAACCCAAAGTAGAAGACAATAGAAGTCCTGGCCCATATTTTGGGAGAAATTTGCCTTCGTGGATGACTTTTCTTGATGGAACAAACTAGCCGCATTTTCGTTGCATGGAGAGGAAAACCTCCCTCGGTTAGCCTGACGACAAGGGAACTCTAACCCATATTCCGTCTACCACTGAGGATATTTTTACGTCAGCACTGTGGTCTGTGCGAACCGGGTGCAGAATTCGTATTGACCAGCCAACGCTGGGATTCAAACCCGATACACCTCATTGGAAGGCGAATGCTCTATCCCTTGATCCACCAGGGCAGGATATCGGTTGACCAGTATAATTTTTATCAGACACATTTGTGAAGTTTTCGGTACAAATGAAAATAAACGCCATTTAAAAAAAAATTTATATATACTCCAATTAATACTATGCATTTAATAATAATTAAAATGTATATAATTATTTTATTATAGACCAACAAATGGAAACATCTGACTTAAATATATTTAAAAACTAAATTTATTTTTTTTGTTTAAAATTTTAGTTTTTTAGATATCAGTTTGGAGCTCTTTTAAGATATAAGGTTCATTTATTGCCTAAAAGCTATAGTTAACATGCAGATTTTATAAGTAAAAATAAGTTATTGATTTTCGAATAAGTCTAATTATATTTTTATGCATATTCAACAACTTTAAACATAATGTAAGATTAATGTAAATATATATTTTAATTCTTTGTGGTGTTTCAACTCTTTGCGGCCCACTGGACAAATTTTATTGACGTATTTAAAAGGATATATCACCCAATTTTTTTAGAGGGTGGTATATTTAATGAAAATTTGATTAATCAATGCAA